CATCTGAGGGCAAAACTTTTGGAACGAAATACAAGTCAGGGTTTTAATTAAATGAATGATTAGTTCTGACTTTAACATATATATATATCCTCAACATTTTGATAATCTGTTTTAAACAGAGTATTATAAATGTACTAAGAGACACACAACAACCAACTTTGAGAAGGTGTAAATGTTTTCATTATGGAAGCCCTTTAACTCCTCAGAATAAGGAATAAGAGAAAGAAGTCCAAAGAAAAAGCATAGACAAAATGTAAAACAAAGGAAATTTTGTTTTAAAGATCATGAGTTCCCATGTGCTCACCATCAATTTATTATATTACAGAAATGTACAAGAAACAGTTTTAAACACTCTGACGTGTGGACTTTTTCTCTCTCTTTCCCTCCCACCCTAATTCCTTCTTCTCCCGCACTTTTGCCCTCCTTGTCTCTCTTACTTACATCCCCCGCTTATCTCTCTCTGTCCTTCTGCCTTCAAATAAATATACACATAAATTGTTTAAAAAAATGAAGATTATATCATATAAAGCATAAATATCTTTCAATTCCAGTAGAGCACAATGATTCTGCAATTAAACCATATTTGTATGACCTATTTGTTTTGGTGAGCATTATCAATGCTATTGTTTTTATACTTGATGAACATTATGTGGGTAAAATATACATATCTGACACTCATACCCACAGCAGTGCCCCTATTTTGTGATTCACGCTATGTCCATAAGACAAAAGGAGGATAATGTGCAATAATATGGAGGAAATTAGAGCATGTTACAGCTAGCAGGGGAGGCATCTAAGTTTGAAATGGGAGAGGGAGGATTCAGGAAATGTGTCTAAGTGCCATGGACTGAGTGGTCCATCATTATCTAAGCCAGGAGAGAGGAGAACAGGGCTGTAAGCAGAGAAAAATCAGCAGGAGATAAAAGGAGAAAGGCAAACTCAGCGCATTTTGTGTAGCACCAGGGAGTTGGAATTACAGCATCCAATAATGGACAAGAGAGTATAGAAGGAAACAATGAGACAAACACACAGATGCCAAGAACTTAACAATTTCATAAGGCAAAATAATGTGTGTGAGATTTCAGCCATGACATAATAAAAATGCATCATTTCTACTCAATTGATACTTTCCTAAGGAACTATTTAGCAATATCACAAACTTCCGTGCACTAAAGGAGTTAAGTGATAGAACCATGAAAATAGGAGCAAACATGTAAGAATCCAGGCTTCAGTGTTAATTCCTGTTTACTTTTAATCATTTCTATCTCATATTTTCCCACGAGTTAAGCATTCTGTACTTTCTTGTGATATAGGAGGGCAGCAGCCTTTTGAAATTTTGGTGAAGTGCAATAAAGTAGGGATTTACACAGCCTAACAGGGATTATATTTATAAAATTCAAAAACACACTTTTACACCTTAAACACCAGCATCATCTAAATCAGATCTCAAAATACATTTTCCTGAGGAAGGGAACTGCATTCTTCACTGGATGACCAACATTGGTTTCTCTGTATGGTTAAGGTATCCAGGAAATTGCAAAATGTGAGAGAGTTTGGTTATAGGTTTTTCCCTTCAGCTCAGTAATGCAAGAAGAACAAGGTCAAGAAACTAAGTCACAACTTAATCTCAGTATCACTTGTTATATTATTTATTAGGCATTATAGTTCTTAAATTGTGTCATATTATTTATTATATTACATAATATTTACTATTAATGTTTTGTTACATTATAATATCTTAATATGAATTTTATATCACTTATTTATATATAAATGCATCTGTTGTTTGATTTGCACATAAAAGGCATACTACTGTTGATTAAACAGGAATCCAATGGGAACAAAACAACAAATTAAACTTTTGTAAAAGCAGAAGTTTACACTGAATTTGGTTGGGGAGTAAAGATGCATCAGTGCAATTAGACATATAACATTGTGTTTAGAACAACCGGCCAAGGATTAAAGATGATCAATTTTTGTGGATAAGGATATTAAGGCGAAAATACAAAAATAGAAGAAAAAGCTCCTAGAGAGACGTTCAGCTCACTTCAGCAGAGTTAAAGAGGTGACTTCCAGGATTTAATGGACAAAGTTATCTTATAAGCTTGTGCTAAAAAAACAATAAAACAAAAACAAAAAAACACAAAAACAAAACCCTGAGAAAGTGTGTTTTAGCAAGAAATGACAGATCCCAGGGACCAGAAGCTTCCCAGGACCAGAGTCAGCACAGTGAAATCTAATGCACTGATCAGAGAAAGTTTCAGCTTAAGATGAAGAAATGTAAGCAGGATAAGCCCAGTCAAGCTACGTAGACTGCTGCATCTTCATCCGTTTAGGCTTGTTATGAATTGAATTGACGAATTAATCAAGAGAGAATCTATTCTCCATGAGAACAAAGGACTTAAACAAGAAAGAAGATTAAATTTGATATAACAGGCACGGCTATATTTTAAATTTCACTAAAGTATTTTTACAGTTTCAACAGAACTCTTAATTCATTTCTGAATTCTTTTTTTAAGGAACAAAGTCTATTCCTGTAGCTTGAGCAAAAACATGTTTCAAAAAGGTATGCAGAATTAACTTATGAATCACTTATGAATCACTATACTATTGTAATGATATAGGGAAAATTAGTTGGGGTGGGAATTTGGAGAGGGGGTAGGGAAGTCCCAGCTATGGAATTGTACCATAACATTTAAAATTTAAAATAATAATAATAATAGTAATAATAATAAATATGTTAAGAAGGTATGCAGAAGTAATCAGATATGCTTTGTTTTACAGCTGGCATATAATTAAAGCAGAAAATTACTTGATGACACACCAGAGAGTAATGAGTCAGATCACTAGGTCCTCATAAAAACAAAACAACATTTAAGTGAAGAAATAAAGAAATGACACAGAATTTTGCTTATTTAACTCACAAGAGATTCTATGAGTCCCCGTAAGATGAAACCAAAGTCATTTTATCTCCTAATGAATCGCAGTGGCATTCAGAATGACATTATTTATTATGCATTCATCCACTGATTCATTCAACACATATTTATGAACATCCACTAAGTGGCAGAAACCTTGTCAGCTACTAGGTCTAAGGAATAGTAATAGAAACTGTACTATAAGATACAGAAGTCACCAAGCAATGGCAAGGGTATGGTAAATATTTTAGAAGGAAAAGAGCACTGTTTTCAGGGTTACCTGGAGGTTGTGACGTAAAAAGCCAGGGATGAGGTGCAGAGGTTACAAAGATGGGGTGAGGACTGAAATATTCATAGGAGAAGTTAGCAAATTCAAAGAAACAACTGTACATTCAGCGAGAAAATTTTGTTCTAAGTAGTAAAAATCAAAAGGACAGTATAACTTTAACACAGAATCAGCAGATGGAAAAAATCATGACCAATGGAGTTGTAGTTTTAAGATTTATGCAAGATTGCTCTAACGGCCGCCTGGAAATTAGAACATTTTAACAGTAACACCTGCCCGAGATGCCCACCTGAAGTACCAGAGTGGTGATAATCTGTGAATGAACACACTTATTTAAAAAAAAAATGTTTAGGAATTAGGTGCTGCAGGTTTCATTTGCCAAATGAATGAGAATCTTACGGTTTATTTAAGAATTGTCTCATTGGAGTGACTTGGGGAAAAAACAATCAGTAGGAGCTGGTAACCAAGGTAAAATCAATAAGTAAAATTTAACTGAAAAACCTACCAGACTGGCTGGGAAGGAAGGACATAGGTACAAACCTAAGTCCGCTAGGGCAGATGGCTGTGGATGCCAAGTCAGATGCTGCTTTGGAGATTTCTGGTGCTCTAGGGGCTTGTTCATCTTTACCAGTGACACCAGAGACAGCAGAACAAATTCACATCACATCTTTGTCAGAGACATAATGCAAGAGGGAGCACAGCTGTAATGACTATACCTATTTTTGTTCCCTTACAAACATCAAGTAATAATCACTGCATTATATGTTAGAGGAGATTAAAAATATTTCTGATGATTTCACATATGTGTGTAGTGTGGGCAGTAGTGTGACATAGACAGTGGAGTGACAGTTATGTCTCACTTGGGAGGGAATGTATTTTGTTCCTCATAGGGTAAAATAATAATCAATTTGTGACAATACTATCTTGTATGTGAACAAGGATAATCAAGCCATCAATAGGAAACTCTTCATTTCATTTATTTATGGCTCTCTTTTCATTCTGGTGATTATTAAATTTCAAGGTTAATTAACCCAAATCAGAAAACAGAATATTCTGGGAATAATATGCCTTTGCGGACTGCCTCTGGCCAATTATCTGTTACAAATAGTATTTTTTGAGTGTATGTTCTCTTTATTCTTGTGCTTGACTTTTAACTACATGAGAGAACAACCAGGAAGTCTAACAGGGAAACTTTAGAACATAGTAAAGATAAAACTGTACAGCTTAAAAATGATCTCTCAAGGAATTCATGGGATAAAAAAAATTCCAAAATTTAATACCCCAGATGAAATCTAAAACAAAAAGAATTTTTTGGAAATGAATACATTAATGAGTATATAATGGAATATGATTAATAATCACTAGCTGGAAAAATCAAAAGGGATTAAAAAGGAAATATTATGTATGTTCTCATACAATAAAGTGATAGGCTTTAAAAATTCACCAGTGGGTAAATTTTTTCAATTTCTTGGCTAATATATGGCTAACATCATCTGTTAATCTAGTATATTTTACATGAGTGTTGCAATAAACATAGGAGTGAACTTACATTCCCACCAACACTGTTGCAGGGTCTCTTTGTCTCCGAACCCTTTTTTGTAACAGCCATTCTTACTGAAGCGAAGTTATATCATAGTTTTGGTTTACATTTTTCTCATTAGTGATGTTTAGCATTTTTTAATGTATCTGTTAATCATGTATTTGTATGTCTCCCTTTGAGAAATGTGTGTTTTGACATGTCTAGTTTTATATTGCATTATTTGGTCTTTTGCTGTCAAACTCTTTCAGATTCTTATCTATTTTGGATACAAAACCATTTTCAAGTGCATGCACATATTTTCTCCCCCTACCACAAAACATAAAATAATTACTGGAAATAAAAAGAAATATTTAAATGAAAAAAAAACCAGTTAATCAGATGAAGCACTCCTTCAGTTAAACACTGTATTTAAAGCCTTGCCAAAATGTATGAGCAATATTCAATCACATATTTGAGTACTCAACACATTTACAAATTACAAGGAACTGTAAAATATTTAACTTCCCAATTACTTTTCCTCATCCCCAATTCCATTGTAGAAGTGAATACAGGCTCTGAATGACATATGGTGTGACAAATGACTGAATCCTTAACTTGTGATCAATATTTTACTTTATTTTAGCATGTCATCATTATGGCCAAATTTATGTGTAATTTCAATACTAGAATTTTTGTTTTTTTTCAGTGATTTCCTCTTTTTTTTCATTTTCATTTTGTTCCATATTTATATTTCCACATTTCTTTATTCTTATTTTTCTTTAGTTCTTTGGATATATTTAAGAGTTAGTAACACTTTGAAAGTTAAATTCGCTGTCTGAGCTTCCTTAGGCAAGACTTCTGTCAAGTCTTTTCCTCTGGATGTACCACACTTTCTGTTTCTTTGAATTCCTTTGCCATGTACATGTATGTATATACACATGCAAACATACATGGTTTTGTGTGTAAAATTGTACATTTTAATATGATAACAGTGCACATTAAATTGTTTCAGTTACTAGTTATTTTAATTCTTGTTTCAATTCCTGAAGTTTATACTCTTCACTGTTGGTTTGTTTTCTAAAATTTGTTTTTCAGTGTTTGTTATCATGTCATTGAAGCAGTTACCTATTAATTTTGCTAGTATTTAACCACTTGAGATGGATTTGTTTGAACACCATCACACACACACACACACACACACACACACACAGAGACAAGCAATACAATCATTAGCAAAACAACAATACACAGATGATGAAACATTTTCTGGGGTATTTGCATCTTGCATCTGTGCTGGGACATCCCATCACCTAGCCCTACCTTCACTTACCATACAGATCAAGTCAAGTAAAAAGTTTTATTTGCAAGGTCATTGTAAGCATGTATCTTGTTTTAGATAGGCATGTATACCTACATCTTAACATGTACAGAAATTGATTTTGAGGGTTCTGCTTTACAAAAAATAAAATCTCCCTTAACTTCTCATGTTTTAGAAAACATTGTATATATCAGGATTTTGTTTTTTCACTCAGGTAAGGGAGACACAGGCAGGGAGACACGGATCTTAGGTCTTCTGATTCACTTCCCAAAAGTCTGCAATAGCCATGGCGGGGCCAGTCCAAATTCAAGAGGCACGAATTTCATCCACGTCTCTTAGACGAGAGGCAGGGATTTAAGAATTTCAGCCATCAGCTGCTGCTTTGCAAAGTGATCATTACCAGGAATCTGGAATCTGAAGCAATGCCAGAACTCAACCTGAGCCCCCAAACATAGATTGCAGACATTCCGGGCAGCAGCTAACCTGAGGGGAAACATGCTAGCCTCAAAATGGCTTTAAAATATGTCCTCACTGTTCTTGCCTCTTGTTCATGCACTTTATTGAAGGACAAGTTTAAAACTTGATAGGCATTGTACCCATATAATTTTTTTCTCTTATCCCACGATATCCTGTAATACTTTTGTATCCTTATAAACTTACACTCAGTTATCTGTGTAATGGAGTATCGTATTATTGAAGTTCTGGTCCAGGTGTTGGATCTCTATCAACATTTTACTGTTTGCAAATTGACTCATATCCTGTGGGCTCCTGACACATACAGTACGTACCTGAACTGTTCATTTTAGTAACACATCTACGCAATTTCTCCGGACTTTGTTTTCTCCAACTGAATCACAGTAACTGGAAAGCAGAGTTCCTGAAACCATTTATCAACGTTGCTAGGATTTAATTAAGAGTGGAAAGAAATGGAGATATGGATAAAACTTGATGAATCAGTACTCAGTTACAGTTCACAAAAGGAATTCTGGTGTTATATTCAACTGTAAGGTAACCATGGGTAACAAGAATACAGCATATGCTTTTTAAAACTGGAAGAAATTATTTTGAGTGTTTTCACAATGAAGAAATGATAAATGCTTGGGGGGATATGTATGTTGACACTGATTTGAACATTACACACTGTATGCACACAGTGAGACTTCACACAGTACCCCACAAATACACACAATTTTATGTATCATTTTGAACAGTGAGATTCTCAGGAGCAATTAACAATGTTGCCATACTGCCACAATCCACGGCTTTCCCAAGCCAGAAGCAGGGCGCTAGGTAGGAAGTGGAGCAGCCGATCATGAACCAGTGCCCATTTGGGATACTGGCACTTGCAGGCAGAAGATTAACCAGTTGAGTCATCCCCAGAATAGGGACATGTTTAAAAATGGGAGTATCTGATAAAGAACCAAACACTGTATGCACTAAAATATTCAAAAATTGTCTTCTACCTAATGACAGATCCTCTTTTCCCCTATAGTTATTGATTTATGTGCAAAAGAGAAAAGTCCACCTATTTCATATTGTTATATCTTACCAGCACCAGTAAAACTCACCCATATTATTACCCTTAACAGTTGGAATTGTTTTCAATAATAAGTATATCAACCTTGAACACACTGACTAATAAACACTTGAAAATACTGGGTTTTGGCAGCTGAGGACCTCGCTGGAGGAAGAGGGTCAGAGCTCGGGTGCAGCCATTCGCAGGCAACGCTGCTAGTTATCAGAGCAGAATGGGCTGTAGCTTAGTGAAATAGGAAAGCTCCAAGGCACTGTTGGAGTGCTCCCATGTAAGTAAAAAGAGAGAAAATAAAGTTTCTCAAGTCGTCGCTGCACGACCTCAGGCCGGCGCCAGGGCAGGAGTCTGTGGGACTTCATAATGCTGCAACGAGCCCCCTTTCCCACTGTATGAGTGTTTTTCAAAATATGACAAAGATTCAGGTGAACAATGTAGTGATGCTGGATAGCCCTTCTCCTTGCTACAACCCGTTCCAGTTCAAGATCATCTTCGAGCACAGAGGACCTGTCTGTTTTCCCTAAGAGTACATTATGTTTTTGAATATCTAACTATATCATATCATGTATTGGCACAATATTTTTAAGTCTGATTTACATCATTATGTCAAATTGTTCTGATCTTAAATGTGTTAATGCTTGAACTTCTAAAAATAATTAGCTATTTAGGTCATAATATATACACAGGGGCTGCAAATTTGATAGAAATTAGAATTAAGAATCATTATATGTATATGACATCAAGTATTTAATATACACCTAATATAAACATAAAAAAGAATTAAGGATAATTCAGAACACGTGTTTAGTGCAGCAGCTGATTTCACCTGCAATGACGGCAGCCCATATTGGGTGCTCTGCTTCCATTTCCACATCCTTCAGTACATCTTGCGTGGTGGTGGAGTTGTCCCCACAAATGGTTGTGCCCCCGCCACCCACATGCAGATATGAGCTGAATGTCTCATTACAGGCTTCTGCCTGATTCAGTGTTCTTGTGGCAGGCATTTGGAGAATGTGCCAGCAAATGGAAATTAACTGTCTGTCTCTCTTGAGGCTTCTTTGTTTTCCAAACAAATAAAAGCTAACACAAAGATTGTTTTATTATGGAGCAAAAGGCTTTGGAAAGTCATTTATAGTTTTCTTTCATGCTGCACATTTTCATTAACTTTTTGATGTTCTCTTGCAAATATGTATTGTCTGTCATTTCATTAAAGGATTAAGATATTGTATTCATTTCATAGTAAAACATATTACCACAAGTAAAAACTGATTATATTATGCATATTTATTGAAGGCAGGAGGGTAACTCACACAAAAAATTGTAAGAGGGCATCAACAGAAAGTGAAATTCATTTGCTTTGATTTATTTTGGGCAAAATATAAAATCTAAAATTTAATTCATAAAGTATTCAGTATTTAAATAAAAAAGGAAATGTATACAGGAAATTATTGGACATAAGAAAGATATACTGAAATATATATATCTCATTGTGAAAATATATTTATTTTTATTTGAAATACAGCTATTTACAGAATGCAAAGGACAGACATAAAGGTCTTACATCCTGTGGTTCACTACCCAAATGCCTACAATGACCAGAACTGAGCCATTCCGAAGCGAGGAGCCAAGAACTCTTTCCTGGCCTGCCACATGGGTGCAAGGGCCCAGGGCCTAAGATCACCCTCCACCACCTTCTCAGTCTACAAGTAAGGAGCTGGGTGCAGAGTGCATCAGCCGGATACAAAACAGCAGCCATACGGGTTGCCAGTTTTTGTGTACAGAGGACACGTCTGATGTCATACTGGCTCCATATGCTGTAAAAAACAGACAGCACACATCTGGACCAGCAATTAACATGTCAGTCAGGACTCCTAGGTCCTGTATTCCTAAAAATGAAAACTTTGGGTAGCTGCAGGTGCTGGCTCAATCACTTGGTCCCTGCCACTAGAGTAGGACAGCTGAATGGAGTTGTTGGCTCACTGCCTGTGGGTCTGCCATTCCTTATGGGTGCTGGTTTGCTTCCCTATTGGTTCCCTTCTTTTATAGCTCCTTGCTAATGGTCTGGGAAAGCACCAAAGGATGGCCCAAGTGCTTAGGCCCTGCACTCACATGGAAACTCTGAAGAAGCTCTGCTCTCAGCTTCAGATCTGTCCAGCCTCCGTGTTTTAGGATCTGAGGAGGTGGCAAGGTGAGGACGTAGCCACTGAGCCATCATACCACACCCCCAAATACATAAATCTTTAATAAAATAAAAATGCAAAAATGACTTCATTTCTGAATGAACTCTGATTCTCATATTCAATGATGTTTGAATTCATGGTATCATTCTCAATGCTACAACTTCACCCCACAGGATAGTATTTAGCAATAGATAGAAACTCATAGGCAGGATTTGAAGAAATATATGAAACCTCAGTTCAATAAAGAATTCTCTGGATTTTGTTATTGTTCAGCACATTGTTAAATGTATGACTTTGATTGTGCAAACGTTCCAAACACAGTCAATGCCGGCTCAACTAAAGCAAGAATTTTATTTTTCTTTCTTGTTTAGGGTTGAGCTGTGCTCCACTTAAGGGGGATTCTGCCAGCCTATCAGTAATCTAGACCTCCTCAAATGTATACTCTGCCATCCTTAGGGTATGGCACTCTTCTTCCAACTCACAAGACCACTCTGCCTCTAAAAGCTAGGAAACTTGTAATTCCAACTGAAGATGTCCAAAAGATAAAGGGGAAAGTCAGGAGGAGAAAATTCCTTATTTTTATTTAACTTGAAAGTCCAACCAATGGCTCTTTATTACATCTCATTAAATAGTACTGTGTCTCATGACCTCTTCCAGATCCACGCTAATGAGAGATGTCTAATCTCTTCTCCAACGTAAATGAAAGAATGTTGGTTATTTAGCTGACAATGTCTAAAGGGAGGAATATCCTCCCCACTGAACACACTGTCAATCCTGCTGCCATAGATAAATGATCTCACCATTCCATCAGTTATTGTATCTGCATTAGAGATGTCCCTAAATTCCAGGAAAGATCATCAGGATCATGCCGCTTCTCCAGAACATATAAAGCACAACCATAAAGGGTGAGCAAGGCACACACAGTGAAGCCTGACAACTGGAAATGGATAGCACGAGAAGCACAGAGGATCGGCTCTAGGACAACTGTCAAATTTTGACATTCAGGAATGACAAAAGTCTTGCTGTCAGAAGAGCCACATGATCTGTCCGACTGGACAAATCCCAAAACACACCATGTTCCAATGACCACAGCTGAGTTTAGATGTTGAATGTAATACAATTGCTAAAGGAAGTTCAGTTTCACAGACCACTTGTGATTGCATTGAGCTCAGTACATTTCAGAAACGCTGAATGTTTTTTTAATCCTCTATGTACCTTTCTTGACCCTAAATAAATGGATTTCCCTTGAGGATATTCAAAATGCCAGAATGTAATTGGAGTGACATCACCTTTTATTTTGGTTTGGCTGCAATGCCCAATTTGAGCAGAGAAATATGCCAGAAGCGTAAGAGAAAGGCCTGAGTTCACAGTCTTTTCTCCTGCTAGATGTTTCATTACTGCTGCTTATAACTTCTCTTTTGTTATACAGAGACAAAGTTTTTGACTCATGAAACCATTTTGACTCATAAACTCATGTAAGCATTAAGAATCACACTCAATTTTTATTGTATTTCACAGGTTGAGTGTTTAACAACAAACTGGCTTTCATTTGCTTCTTGGCTGGAAAATTGACCGTTCCTCATAGTATGCTGTTTTTCCAAGAACACATGAAACACGTGTATGATAAGAAAGCAATTCTGGGGCCCAGCACGTTAGTGTAGAGGTTAAAGTCCTCACCTTGCACATTCGGGATCCCATATGGGCACCAGTTCTAATCCTGGCAGTCCCGCTTCCGATCTAGCTTCCTGCTTGTGGCCTGGGAAAGCAGTCGAAGACGGCCCAAAGCTTTGGGACCCTGTACCAACATGGGAGACCGGGAAGAGGCTCCTGGCTCCTGGCTTCAGATTGGCTCAGCTCTAGCCGTTGCAGCCAATTGGGAAGTGAACCATCGGATGGAAGATCTTCCTCTCTGTCTCTCCTCCTCTCTGTATATCTAACTTTGCAATAAAAATAAAATAAATCTTTAAAGAAATAAATCTTTTAAAAAAAAGAAGAAAGCAAGCAATTCTGACTGACTTCTTTTTCTTCTAAGATGGAAGCTCAGTCATGTACTCAGTGGATGAACAATCAGTACACAGAAACTTACCTGAAGTGCTAAAAGATTTTACATGTATATCAAAAAGCTTACCAGAAATTGAGATTCTCTCATTTATTTTTGAATGATGGAGAATGATGAGCTTTGGTAATGTGTGCACACATGAGTCAGGCCCAATACACACCATGTGATAACCAGCTTGTAAGCCAAACAGTTGAACTGGTGACAAAGTCAGAGAGAAAGTCAGATGAAACAATAAAATGCAAATGTGAAAATAAACATTTGGAATTAATTTCAGGCTTGAAATTCCTTTGAAGAGTAAAATGTTGAAGGAAAATATATTAGTATTATCATCTCCAGATACACATTTGCACATATATTTTGAAATTATTTATTGTAATTAAACCTCAACATTTTCAACTCCCATAAAATATACTTAAGAGTTATAGTAGAGTGAGACTGGCACAGTAGCCTAGTGGCTAAAGCCCTCATTTTCATGTGCCAGGATGCAGTTTAGGCGCTGCTTCGTGTCCCAGCAGCCCCGCTTCCCATCCAGCTCCCTGCCTGTGGCCTGGGAAAGCAACTTAGGATGGCCCAAAACATTGGGATCCTGCATCCAAATGGAAGACCCAGAAGAGGCTCCTGGCTCCTGGCATTGGATTGGCACAGCTCTGGCTATTGTGGCCACTTGGGGAGTGACTCATCAGACAGAAGATCTTCCTGTCTCTCCTCCTCTCTGTATATTGGACTTCCCAATAAAAATAAAAATAAATAAAATATGTTTAAAAAATTTTTAAAGTTCTACTAGGGGCTGATGCAGTCAATTGGCTAATCTTCCCACTCATAAGTACTGGTATTGAGTAATCAATATGTTACAAGATGCAAGCTTTCAACTTCATCCTGTGACTAATTCATTGAAATTTTGGTTTTGGTTAATATATAACCAGCCTCTATATACCTTAAAATGGCTATACTGTACTATTCAGCTGTCTCATGTCTATCCTCATTTTAGTATTTACCAGTTCATAGCATTGAGGCATAATTGTGCTGAATCTGGCTGATTTTAGGATAGTTTAAACTAGCTTATAACTCTAGCAAGGCATATGAAAACAGTTGAGGTGTAGAACTATATTAGGAGGGGTGTGTAGAGAATTCTTCCATTCCACAGTGAGGAGTATCTAATCTCTGTGTCCTACCTAGTAAGATATATGTGAGTCCACACTGACTGTTTCCTGTCTGGTTCTAAGCTTTCCTTATTGTTCTCTGTCTAGTCTGATTGTGTGTGTTTGTTTCTTTGTTTGTTTGCTTGCTTTTGGGGAGGGGGCTCTGGAGCGACCCTGATAGTCACTGCCAGAAAGGATGGGGATCCAAAGTTGGAAGTAAGTAAGGACCAGAGAATACAATGGATGAAATTAACCTTAATAATTCTAAGGAGAAATAAAAGAAAATTAACTATCATAAATGATATTCATTTAGATATGTTTACTTAGAGGACAATGAATTGGTCAATGGTTTCTCTATAGATAAAATTGTACTTGAAGGAAATTTTGCAGTTTTATTAGTACTTACACCCCATGGGATGCTGAATATGATAAATAATCGGTGGTATGATGTTCTGAAAATGAATAGAATGGGGATGTGAGCATTTGATATAGCACTTCAGACACTGCTTGAGACAGCTCCATCCATGTCAGAGTGCATGGTTCAAGTCCCCACACCTCTGCTTCTGACCCAGCTCCCTACTCATGAGCACCATGTGGCAGAAGGTAACGGCTCAAGCATCTGGCCCCTTGCTACTCACATGTGAGTTCTGAATTGATTTCCAGACTCCTCAAATTTGTCTGGCCCAACTCTGGCTGCTGTGAGCATCTGGCGACTGAATCACTGGTATAAGATCCTCTGTCTTCCAGTTTTTAAATAAAATAAAATTAAACAATTTTTTTAAAAAGCTCAGACGGGCTCTTCCCTGGCCCAACCCTGACTATTGCAGGTATTTGGCTAGTTTACTTTCCAGTGGAACGTCTCTTGCTCATTCTCTCTCTCTCCCCTTATCTTTCTGTCACTGTGCTTTTCAAATAAATAAATAAACTTTAAACAAACCTTAAGGAAGATTAGAACAAGACAAATCTTGATTTCTCTTATTTTATGCTGAAGTCATCTTGGAGAACACAAAGTATATGTTAAAAACATGTAAATTAAAAAGTCAATTTCTAGATTCACATAAATGCCTTTACATGGATATCTTGGGGGAATTTGAAATGTGCTCAACTATTGGATATATTTGTTGGATAGCAATGTTAGACACTTTGCAAAATGCCTGACATCTTTGACACCCATTCTCTAAACGCTGGTTATGGTCTGCAATCTCGGTATGAGCCAAAACATTCTAAGAAATAGCTCATAAATAGTTCAACACTTTCTATGTCTTTTTTCAAAAATAGATTTATTAATTAATTTCATTAGAAAGCCAAATGAAAGACACAAAGGTCTTCTATACCTTGGTTCACTCCCCAAGTGGCCACAATGCCTGCACCTGAGCTGAAGCCACAAATCAGAAGCTTCTTCTGGGTCTCCCACACAGGTGCAGGATCCCAAGACTCAGGACTATCCTCTATTGCTTTTCCAGGCCACAAGCAGGAAACCGGACAGAGGTTGAGCAGCCAGTACACAAACTGGTGCCCATGTGGGATCCTGATGCTTGTGAAGCGAGGATTGGCTCACTTTAACTCACATCTTAACCACTAGGCAAGAGCCTGATGGTTCTTGCAGGAAAAGCTTTAATGATTTATGTGTTGGATATGTACTCAGCCACTTCATGGTGATCAGTTTCCCTTCAGAAGATTTTCACCCCTGACAGCAAGTTCATGAGCACACACAGCACATAACAAAAACGTTTTTAGCATTCAACCATGACCCAAAACTAACAAAAATTTCCAGCCTTAAAACACTAGAGGAACAGAAGAAATTCCAAGCAAATAACACAGAGGAGAAATTAACTTGAATCCTTCATCCTGTTTGTAAGTACAGCATCCAGTTTGAAAACAGTTTGGCTCTACAAACCTAATTAGCAAGATGCTACCCTATGCCCTATACAAAAACAAACACACAATGGATCAAACTAAACCTAAGACCTGAAACCATCAAGTTACTAATGGAAAACATTTAACACATTGGTATAAACAGTACATTATCGAATAAGACTCTAAAAACACAAGCAAGAAAGGTGAAAAATAGACATAGGATTACATCCTGCTATGATGTTCCAGCACAGCAAGATTCACTTAACAAATGAAGAGGCAAACAACAGAGTAAAGAAAACATTTGTAGACTATATGTCTGATAAAAGATAAACATCCAGAATATAAAAGGAGCTCAAAAATCCCAACAAGAAAAATTCAGGAAATCCAGCTAATAAGTGGACAGAGGACAAGAACATTCATCAAAAGGTGAAAGAAATGTTGAAGGCATAGGAAAAGATGCCCAGGATCACTAGCCATCAAGGAAATGCAAATAAGTAATACAATGAGGTTTGATCTCCAGTAAGAAAGATTATCATCCAAAAATCACAACATACCAAATTCTGCTAAGGAAGTGAATAAAAAGTACCCTGATGCACTGTTGTAGGAATTTAAATTTGTATAATCATTATGTAAGAGAATATGGAGAGTCCTCGGAAAACTAAATACAGACCTACCATAGGTCTTAGCCATCCCTATCTTAGGAATATGTCCAAAGGAAATTAAATCAGCATATAAGAGAGTTACCTGTACCACCATGTTTCAGCATCTCAATCTATAACAGCTTATGAAATCAACCTAGATATCCATCAATCAATGACCGGAAAAAGAAAACATGATATTTCACTTGGTCTTAGGTCTTCCAAGGCCAAGAGCTTGCCTTTCCAGAGTGCAGATTGGCAGGTGGACAATGAATTGTACACATGGAGCAAATTGGATCCAAGCAGCGAGGAAAACTAGATGCTGGTTCCAGAGTACTTTGCCTTGAAGGGGATCTTCAGCATGTGGGCAAAGCCTTCAACCTGGGAAAGATCCTCAAGTGAACCCCTCCTGCTGTCACCTGGCTGCCTGCACCTGCCCTTAACAGAGTTGTGGGTCATTAAAGGAAACTGAATATTAAAAAAAGAAAGAAAAGGTAGTATTTACACATAGATATGACAGAATACTTCTGTGAAATAAAAAAGAATAGAATCTTGTCTTGTGTAATAAATTGGAAGAAACTAAAGACCATTATGTTTACTGAAATAAGCCAGTCCCCAAAGGCAAACATATTTTCCCTGATTTGTGGTAGCTAATATATACAATTACTCAATGTTATTACTTAATGTATGTGAGTGAAACTGACATCTTGGGATTCAATTAATGCTTATATTGTCTATATTCAGTGGAACAGTGGTGTGTGAACATTTTCTTTGTAAAGCCTTTTGTTTAGTGGAATTATAAGGCTGCAGATATACATTAAATTAAAACTATGTCATCCTAAAACTTAAAATGGAAGTAACACTGCATTCTTAGAATTTTCTTCATGAATTACATGAAATTTGTTGTCTTAACATTAATTTTAAAAACAGTACAGCTCTGAAGCAGCAAGGAAACAAAACATAAATCAATGGGCATTTTATTATTGGGATAAGATTGCTTGGGGAGCCTAAATAAACAAATTTTCATTACTTAAGAATGCATAGGGGCCCTGCACAGTAGACTAGCAGCTAGAGTCCTTGCCTTGCATGTGGTGGGATCCCATACAGGTACCATTCATGTCCAGGTGGCTCCATTTTCCTTCCTGTTCCCTACCTGCGTATGGCCTGCGAACGCGGTAGGGTATGGCCCAAAGCCTTGGGACCCTGCACCCACATGGGAGACCCAAAAGAAACTCCAGGCTCCTGGCTTCACATTGACTCAGATCTTTGTTTCTCCTTCTCTTTGTAAATCTGACTTTCCAATAAAAATAAGTAAATCTTTTAAAAAAAAAAGGATTAGAAAAGTCAATGAAGGCCAATTTAAATTTCAACCAAGATGGAAGTAAAGGTCAATCACACAGAGTGGTTTATTACTGGTAATGGAAAAGAAAATTAATTTTTATTAATATCTGGTGAATCCTCTTGTTCAACAAACACATTACAGTATACTGACATTTTATATTCCCAATATCACAGTCATCACTTTGTTCATGAGAACACTAAGGTTCAATGCAGTTAAGCAATTTTACAGAGCCTTATGGTTTGTGGAGTG